ACCATTTCTCATGGATTTGATGAAAATTTTGTCTTTTGGCTTGATAAAATTGACAGTGATGAGGAGCTGACTGATCTCTATGAAAAAGTTCCTTGTTCATGTGGTTTGGCAGGGGGGGCCGACTCTATCTTGGTTGTTTATGGATGAGCAAGTTAAAACTCAACCTGTAAATCAGTATTAGACTCCGTTCACATGAAAAGTCTATTTTCTAAAAATCTATTTTCTATTCGCGGTATCTTATGATCACTCTGAGCGCAGCCGAGAATTAATTACAGCTTTGGAAGTAACTGGCTCACGCTACCAGTAATTACGCCGCAGGATATTCAGGGCACAGACCGTGATCATAAGATACTGCGAATAGAAAATAGATTTTTAGAAAATAGACTTACCATGTGAACGAAGCCTTACTCAATTTTGGCATGCATCTCGTTCCTAGCATAGAATGTGGTATATGAAATAAGTTTCATTTAAAATGATTATAAAATGATAACATGATTTTCTGTGCTTGTGTGTTTCAGCCCATATCCCTGCAAAAAAGTGCTTCCTGCAACATTTACACTTAACAATCAGAATATATATTATTGATGGAAACAAAGGCACTCTCTCTCCCCCCCCCCCCTCCCCCAATCCATCTAATATTAGCCCGATTACTGGCCATACTCTTTAATACTGATTTAGGAGAACTGTCAACTCGCTGGAGAAGGGTGATAACTCAAAGCTTTCAAAAACCTTCACTTATTCCAATAGTCAATTTTACAAGATTTCTTGTTTATTTTCACTGACATTAACAGAGGCCCACTCACTTCATATCCCTTAATTTCCTGCTTATATAGGTCACATTGTTTTGGGAAATATAATTAATCAGTTTTGGTGGACAGAAGTGTGTGATTATCCAACAGGGAGGTCTCCCCATTGTGGAATTGTGATGCCTTTTAGGCAATCAACAATGAATAATGACCCTAATGGAAACTAAGGTGTAGTCGCATGACATGCTCTCGTGTAGGTTCGAAGCTACTTCATGTGTCTGTTATTGCTCTAGAAAGAAACCAGCTTCAAAAAAAAATTTTTTTTTTGGTAGATTTCAAAGTCTGGCAAAGGGTGTAGTGTTTTAATTTAACAGCAGGATGTGCTAAGCACCAAGTGCATGAGGACAATATTCTGTTAATAACTCCTGTAGTGGCAAAATGTGAAGAAAATGACTGAAAATGATGAAAAATTTTCATTTTAGGCACAAGTTGTCTTCTTTATTGTTTTCTGCCTAAAGGCCTATGAAGAAATTTAAGGCAGTTGAAATTTATGTTTTTGCAAAGCCACAAGAATGAAGGCAATGCATGTTGCTTCCCACAAAATGATTTAAAAAAAAAAAAAAAACCTGCATAGTTTCCTTGAGCCTAAATTAATTTGTTTAAGCCACCTTGACTTAGCAGGAAGATTTCTCCCCTTGTAGCATTTCAACACATGCAAGTAACCAGCAATGCATGCTGTGAAGGAACATTTCCCAGCCCTTCCTTGCAATAATTCAATACATATCACTGTCTACTGTGTGGAGACAGACACTTTGGCAAATTCTGCATGTGTAGATTTTTCGAAGTTGATATTGGGATGTAGTGTGTTCACTCTGGTCATATGAAGAGAGGATATAGAAAGTAAGGGCTAGATGTAGGCCATCTGTGGCTGTGCTCACATGGTTGAGGTAAAGAGTGGATATAAAGTCATTCGAAATTTGGCCAATAGCGACCGCTTTTATTGAAAGGTAAAGAATGGTGTTAGTTATTATATAGCATCAGATAATGTTCAGTTAATTAAAATTACGTACTGGTATAGCATAAAAATAAATATAAAAAAAAAATAGTGCACATATTTTCATTTGTGGGGTTGCAAAGAGGCCGTATTCACAAGATTGACATGAAGAATGGATACAGAAAGGGCAAGATGAAGGTCATTAGTTAACAGTTTAATATGAAGAATGTTGGGTTATATTTCTGCTGCTTAACGTAGTATTAAAAATGACCCTTCTTCCTGTTGGAATATACTTCCTTGTAAAATGTTTTTAATCATTCGGTAGCCTTCATTTCCCCCCCAGAGGCCCATCTTCACTGTTATGGTAGAACAGGTTTATTAAGTTAATGTAATTTATGTGTATCCTTGTAATGATCATCATGGTTTTAACCTGTCTGGGGAGTTTTCCAGCTGTCAGAACTGATGAATTGTTTTGTTCACACCAGCTAATATTATTATATATTATTGTTGCTTATTGATGTAAGGGAGTTTTTTCCACTATTAATTGACTTGTTGGACTGTTTTAAGTTGTTCATTTCATTATGTGTTATGAGAGAGAGAGAGAGAGAGAGAAGGAAAGACATGAAAAAGAAGACTTGCCTTATAAATGACTTAGTAGAAAAAAATACCTGGATTGGTGATTTATGTGTAACTCAGAAGAAACAGTTTAAAATGAATTGAGGTGAAAATTATGCATATCTTTTCATCACAGTCATGTTGAACTTCTGATCAATATATGAATTATCATTTTGTAATTAGATTAATATTTTCTTAGATTATAGATAATTGAATAAATAGTTTGAGATATTAAACAAAGTATATTCTATTGTTTCCAGGCGGGCCTCTATGATGCCAATGGTGAGTTGACAGGGTTCAAGGACCAGGCACAGCCCAAACAGCCTAGTAAGTCTTGAAAAAAGTTTTTATTGTTTTTTGTTTCTACACAGATGTTAGAAATACATATAGAGCTTTTAATGGCTGTCAGTTTGGTGTTAAATGAAATACTAATGTATATATTACTTGTAAAGTTAAACTAAAATTGATGGTCAGCAAACCTGTAATTTTGGTTCTCTCTCTCTCTCTCTCTCTCTCTCTCTCTCTCTCTCTCTCTCTCTCTCTCATGCACATTCAATTCAATGTCTGTTACTCAAACTGTATTGATTCACATTTCTCAAACAAATCATTTGAAGACGACACAAATATCATGGCATTCATTTATTCATTCTTTTCCAGTTCATTTTGTGGCTGTCCCGATTAGTTCTCCAAACAAGTTCCTCGTGTCAAATTCACAGCCTACAATCCTGCCCAAGACTACAACAGTACAATCTCCAATGGTACGTATCACTGCTATTACTGCTATTGTATCCGTACTTTTATTGTTTGTGTACTATAATTGGGTCAATTATGGTAATATGGCTGTCAGTCCACATTCTTTCCGAAGACTGTATCAATACATTATCTGCTGGTATTTCCATTATGACTGTCATTATGTTTGCACTGATCATTGTATTGGTAGTATCGCTGAATTTGTGCTGTCACTGCATTGGTTACTATTGGTACTGTCATAATAATTGTAACTGTCATTGTATTGGTAGTGTCATTGTATCTGTACTGTCATTGTATAAGTGCTGTCACTCTGTCTGTACTGTTGTTGCATGGGTACTATGCCTGTATCCATGCTGTCATTATACATGACTTGATTTTAACACGTTCCCCAATATTTCAGATTTTAAGCAGTTCTCCGTCTCAGCGCCTCACTCTCCCCCAGATTATATCCAGCAATGCGCGGGGCACTAATGTTCCCATGATGCTCGACTCGCCGGGAATTCTGGGAGCAATCAGAAAGCGGGGAGGTGATATTGAAATAGACTTTGGTGACAGGTATGAGTTACTGTTGAAGTACCTCAAGAAAGGCGGAATGATTTAAAATTATTATTTTAAAGATGACTGTTTTTATAGTCTCAGTGCAGCCAAGCAGGTCTATAGGACATAGATTTAATTTTTTCTCTGACATTTTGTAAATTTAGGCCATTTTCATTTCACCGTTTACTGTAAGTTTGGGATTATACAGTTTTTTTCATTCCAAGGATGATATTAATTGGAATCTTATTAATTTATTTGAATACATTGTTGCCTTAGGCATAAAAAAAGACTCTGTGAAATATGTTTTTTCATGCAGAAACTTGCAGATGTGGAAATGCATTTTCAGTTGTTGTTTAGAAGCAGTAATCTTCGAAAGCAAAAATACAATTAAAAAAGAAAAACTACAAATCTAAACTTTTTAGATTCTTTTAATGTGTCATCTGAAATTTTCAGTAAAAGAAGGAAAGGAGAGAAAGGCGGCAAGGGGCTACGTCATTTCTCCATGAAGGTGTGTGAGAAGGTCCAGAAGAAGGGGGTGACATCGTACAACGAGGTGGCAGACGAACTGGTGGCGGAGTTCAGTGACCCCAGACATATGACCCCCACAGATCAGGTCAGTGGCTGAAAACTGGGTCTTTAGAAAATGGTGTTTGTTTGAAATTTAAAGATGGCTTCTTTAAAACAATACAGATTTATGTGTACTTGCAATTGAATTAAATTGAATCTAGTGACAGAAATGTGATCTGTAGAAAATATTGTTTAGAATTTTATGAAGATTGCATTGAGCATTGTATTATATTGCACCAGTACAGCTTTTACTGCTGTCTATCTTAGCCTAATGTTTCCACCATTTTCCATTCAGCAATACGATCAGAAGAACATCCGAAGGCGCGTGTATGATGCGCTGAACGTGTTGATGGCCATGAACATCATATCTAAAGAGAAGAAAGAGATCAGGTGGATAGGCCTGCCCACAAATTCCGCACAAGAGTGTCAAAATCTAGAGGTAAGAATGGGGCCCCTCGGCCAATAGGGAAAAAAAGTAAACGTAAAGGAAAAGTTTGGTTTTTGTAAACCACACTGCACGTGCATCTCATTAGATGACAAAATGCATGGGAATTTATTTGGTACTGAAACAGACTGGTTGTAGATGTTTTCATTTCCCTAGGGAGGATACCGCCCAGCTGTCATATTAAAAACTACTGGGCAGAGACGGAAGTTAATTTCTATATTATGAAGTTACTTTCGTTGCTTCTGTCTGGTGTTTCTGTCTAGAGAAACCCGAGGTGGTTGGAAAATGTAATTAGTTAGAGACAGAAATAGATTTCTTAATCATCAAGTGGTTAATATCTTTTTCTGTCTGGTATTCTAGTTAGAGAAACAGAGGCGGTTGGAAAGGATACGGCACAAAACTCAACAGTTACAGGAACTCATTTTACAGGTGAGATACCTACAGTAGTAACGTTTATAGACCAAAGCAAGGATCTTGTGTATATTTTCCTTATTGAAACTTTCATGTAGCTGCTCGCCATAATCTGAATAGTATTGGGAAGATTTTGTGTAAATTTTCCAATTGATATTAGACGATGATGTGAAAATCAATTCTTTCATAATTCCTTTTGTTTCAAGTCCATCTTTTTGCCAGCTTAAAGGGATAATAACTCTTCGTTTTGGCCAAAAAATGAATTTTCCTGGAGTAAACAACAATTTTCCCATACTTACCAATGGTTAATGAATCCATTTTTACATTCAAAGTTAGTCCCTGGTTTTTTTCTAAAAAGTTTGGTTTTTTGTTAAATTCTCTTAAGAGATTATAACAGAGTATAGCCATCAATGGAGGTGACGTGGTCTGAAGACAAGTTCAGATATCATAATAATAGCTATAACTGCTGTTTTTGTCGTAAAACAGAATATATTTTATTTCTATGAGTTGTTCACGATGTTTCTGTTGTGAAATATAGACCTCATACGAAGAGTTATTATCCCTTTAACAGTTTAGCTGTAATATAAAACCATGTTCATTACAGCAAATAGCATTCAAGAACCTGGTAAACAGAAATCGTGATCTTGAAAAAACCCAAGGTCCGCCAACTGCTAATTCGGCCATTCAGCTTCCTTTTATCATAGTGAACACAAGCAAAAAGACTGTCATAGACTGCAGCATATCAAACGACAAGTGAGTATTCATATCAAACCCTAATGAATATTTTATAATAAAGAGCAGTCAAATATAAGGAATTAATATGAAGAATGTAATAAATGAATAATTTGAAATATTAAGTAAATAATGTAAAATATGAGACACATTTAAACATTCAAAGCGGTTTTATTTCCTTTCAGGTATGAATATTTATTCAATTTTGACAACACATTTGAGATTCATGACGACATCGAAGTCCTCAAAAGAATGGGGATGGCATTCGGGTTGGAGAAGAGTAGTATATCAGACGAGCATCTCAGTAAAGCCATGAAAATGGTCCCAAAGTCTTTAGAACCATATGTCCTACGTAAGTATAGTCTTCGTTGTGAAAATGGCCCCAAAGTGCATATTCTTTACATGGAAGAGATATGACGTCTTTTATGTTGTGAGCTTGACAAAGATTGTTTTCAAATAAACACACCATGACTGGCTCCGAAGAATTCCAGCATAAATTGACAATAAATGGCAGCAGTACTGTACTGAACTAAGTGTAGTAATTTGTATACATTTTAGTTTGAACAATTTTTATTTAGAGCGTGGTTGACTTCTGGTTTCAGAACTGGCCAATGTCCCTGGCGTGGCTGGGCCCAGTGGTATTAAAGTGGAGGCGTCTGCAGCAGCAAGGTATGATGGGTAATATAGTACGATATAACTTGGCATGTTTTATAATATTGAAAATACAACCTTTGTTATATTTAGAATACAAGCTTTGTCAGTGAACAAGACATGAGAAATTGAACAGCAGAAAAGCATAATTATTTTTTGTACACACTTGATATTTTATTTTCAATCAAGTGGTCATGTTTCTGCATTTTCTGTGGTGTATAAATGGGGAGTTGAATGTCTCGGTTTTAGTGCTAAATATAGTTGTCCTGCTGAAGAATATTTTGAAATGTCTTTTCTAATCGTCTTCATGTATGAAATTATATGGTTTTAGACTTTAAGAGGGGTGGGGGTTTCAGCCGTGTCCGTACAATTTATGAGCATACCTCCCCTCTGCGTTTAAAAATTTTTTTTTTAATTATTTTTTTTCATCTGCAGCAGTCTGACCAATCAGCCATACTTCCTCACTTCCGGAGACAGCACGGATGCAGAAGTTGCCCTGGCAACCAGTCACATGTCCCGCCAGTCCAGCCTCGGCTCTTATTCAGACTTGGCGCCATCTAGAGGGGCCACGGAGACTCCGTCGGAATGCTTCTCGGACGATGACGAGGATGAGTCTGAGCGATCAAGCCCGGTGGATATCAACTGATGGCGGACGTGGTGATACAAGGACATGTATACTTGATATACTTAATTCACAGCAGTCGTTTGTTCACGGGTTTCTCACAACAACAGCAGTGGTGGTGTTTTTGTCACTGTTGATTTGCGGTGGTGACGACGACGACAGCGGAGTGAGAGCATAGAAGTGACTGTTGACATTGCAGAGATAAAGGCAGCAGATTGAATTTTTGAAAGGAATTAAAAAAAAGAAACTATTTAAGATTTTATAAAGATTGCTGTTCAGTACAGAATACAAATCTTACACTATGAAGATAACGGGAAACAGGAAAAAGCATTTACTGTGAATTATTATTTTAAGTGAATGTTGTTTATTACAGTAAAAGCACAAACAAAAGAACGAGCTAGAAAAAAAAAAAGAAGTGGGAAAACTCACAGTTTCTAACCATTATGACTGTACATTATATGTGTCAGCTGGTGGTACTTTAACAAGAGAGAAAACAAAGCCTCAGAGCCATATAACATAACTTGTAGTGCAGGACACGTGCAACATGGGTCTTTTGTATGTATACATATTATTTTATAGACTGACTTAGGCCACCTGCTCTATAACTACTATTATTTCTATTATATACACGTGTGCATGTTATGTATAGATTCTTAATATCACATTTGCCCTATCGCCCTTGTTTAAATTTTCTCACTCCATCCCTCCATCCTTTTCCCTGTAAATCTTCCCTCTTGTAAAAATTTGACATTTCCTTTTGTATCCAATCCAATATGAAAATTTACTGTCCTCTTTTCCTACCGTAACCTCTGCTAAGTAAATTGCCAGTTTTGAATTGTGAAAGATGATGAAAAGAAATTGATTTGGCAGCGTTAAGAGAAATTTAAAAATGACTGTGTGAGAAGTGAAGATTGTCATGGAAATTATTTCAAACAAAAATTTTTAGAACAAGACAAAAAGGACTTAATTGAGGTATGGGGAAAAGGTAGCTTTGTCCATAATACAAGCTTTGAACCCGGTGCTTGTTTGCTTTCGACCTAAGTTTAAAAAATGTGATGCTGTACCAAATATTAAAAACGGTAATTCACAACCAGTATTTTATATACACTTAGTAATTCTTACCAGGTAAGTGGGAAAATGTTAAATAATGAGTTAAAGTGAAGAAGACATTGGCTGACAAAATAGTTCAATTATACATTGGTGTTGAACACGGAAGGGCTTATTGAATTTGTATCAAATTGTGTTTAGCTTTTAGTCGTGTATTTTGATGTGATTTCTATTTATTATTGCCTAGTGTTTATTTTTCCTTCTGATGGATGAAATTTGAGGTTTGAGGCTTGTATTAATAAAATTAGGTGAGAGCAGCACATGTACCTTTAGGGTTGATGAAGCTCAAAGGAAATCTGGCCTTCCTTGACAATATTCATTTATGCTTGAAGTTAACTTGGATTTGTTGTCATAAGATGAAATTAAGAATGCTGATTTGGCATTAATTCAGTTGATAAATTGATTTTGGTGAAACTATTATAAAGGGAGGCTAAAATTTTTACATATATTTATTATAATTAATCATTCTTTTTGACTATTTTGGGGACATTCTTTAATTGACTTGAAGTTAAAGATTTCATATCAAAGAATGGTGAAGTACGTGTTTAGTGAAGAGGCTTCATTGACTCCCCATAGTATATGTTTTTGTGTCGTTTCTTTTATTAAGTACATAATGTTCAGAAAAGGAAAGTACAAGTTGTGCGTTCAGTGTTCTGAAGCACAGTGTTTCATTTTATCCATTGAGATTGCTATGAAGCGAAGAGCATTTTACATCTTTTAACCAACTTGGTCTTCATAAAATGTGTGCAGTTGATTACCATGTACGGGTTCAAATCACATATTTTGTCATGTGCATGTGAGAGTGACCAATACAAGCACGCGGAATCGAATTCTCACAGGGCGTTTCGTGCTGATAGTGTTCTTATAAGAGAGTTTGAATGTTATAGAGCATGACTGGTGGAAAATGAGGTTACTTCATTTCCATTATTATAAATAAGTTGAGGTATAGTTAAGATGACATAGTAAGTGATCTGTAAATTTGACCTTATTTTTCTAATTTAATAACGGGGTCTTCAACCATGGCTTGTAAGCTCTGATACAGAATTTTTTTCGGCCCATCTCAGTCTGTTATGTGAATATTAGAGTTGTTTCTCTCATTGCCTTTTAATTAGTGACAAATGTGAATTGTATTGCCTCCTAAATTAAAGAACCATTTATATGGAAAAGCATTGTTACTATTACTGAATAACAAAAATTGTGTCATGTTAGTGAGGTCAAACATTGTATAGCAAATGTTGTGGTGCATTGTTGTTTGGCATACAGGACTTGTCAAGTGCTTTTTGGATGCACATTCTCAAGGTTTATTCTGTGTTGCTTTTGCATAATGCCTGCTCAGCTCGGGGGAGTACTTTAGACCAAAATGGCCACTACACACAACACCTAACTACCAGTTCAAAATGCCTCAAGGTTCATATAATTTGTTAGGAATCTTGGTGATGTGGTAGATAACCATGATAGTGCAAGTTTGTACCATGACAGCTAAGGTAAAAATATTATGATGCGAGCTGAAACTGTTATGATGTGAATTACAACCACGATGATGAGTTGAAAATGTTATAATGAGAATCTAACAACCATGAAGTAAAGAAGGCATGCTGTGGAGTCAGAATCTTCATGATAGTGAATTACTCATGATGTAGGTTTGACATTGTTTGTTTGTTAGAGTCGTAATATGTGAGAACTATGGTGGCATGGGAATGACATATTAATCATCTGAAGTGAAACCTTGGTGTGTGGTTTGAAGGCTATCTTGGTCTACAGCAGTCCTCCCCTGAGCGCCTTATTCCAACAGTTTTCACATTTACTCTTCTGGGCAGAATCATCTCACTTATTTTATTGTGAATATTTAATTGGCATTGCTATTATTATTATAATAATTAAATTATCAAAATTTTATTTTAATTGTACAGCAGTGAATGTAAACCAGACCTAGTGTGTTTAACATGGGTATGGTTATATTAGGTAGCAGTGAGGCTACTGGATTTTTATCACATTAATGGTGACCATTTTTTTTTTTTTTTTTTTTTTTGTAATATAGTAAAAAAAAAGTTTGAAATGAATTAAATGTGTGGGGTTTTTCATGCCTACAGTCAGGGAGGCCAAGGTGATGATGATTATAATATTTGAAAGAGGCATCTTCATTTCCTGGTTATCTGAAAAAAATTTTGGTTTCTTCTGTGAAACGAGTAAAATACTGGAAGGGAATGTATCTGTATTTCTTTGCCATTGTTCAGGAAGAAGACGGCAGTGATGATGATAATTATAACGAACATCAATTAATACTTGATTGATGACTGTTTTGTGTAAGGGAAGATGCCTGCTTGCATTCAACACATACAGATTGGCTGTATCTGGTGTTGAACATTTGTGTACAGTAGTAGAAGATTGGAATAAACTCAGTCGAGATATTATCTTTTGTGTGGAGCTTTTGTTCTTAATCTCAATGTTTTAAATTTAGAGATTTTCAATAACTTGTTTCCCCCAAGTCCTACTAACATCAAAATGGACAAAATAGAAAAAAATTTAATTTATTAAACGATGCGTTAAAAGTTAAGGCAAGAAGAAGTTGATGTTATGCTGACGAAATAATCCTATGTCATCCTGCAATTAAGGCCAAACAGTTAAGTAAGAGCTATTGTTTATACCACTTTAGAATATGGTTAAGGGTACTCTATCCTGTTTTTACCCGTCAAAATAAAATATCCTCTAGAAATGCTACACACTGAAACANGATAAATTGATTTTGGTGAAACTATTATAAAGGGAGGCTAAAATTTTTACATATATTTATTATAATTAATCATTCTTTTTGACTATTTTGGGGACATTCTTTAATTGACTTGAAGTTAAAGATTTCATATCAAAGAATGGTGAAGTACGTGTTTAGTGAAGAGGCTTCATTGACTCCCCATAGTGTATGTTTTTGTGTCGTTTCTTTTATTAAGTACATAATGTTCAGAAAAGGAAAGTACAAGTTGTGCGTTCAGTGTTCTGAAGCACAGTGTTTCATTTTATCCATTGAGATTGCTATGAAGCGAAGAGCATTTTACATCTTTTAACCAACTTGGTCTTCATAAAATGTGTGCAGTTGATTACCATGTACGGGTTCAGATCACACATTTTGTCATGTGCATGTGAGAGTGACCAATACAAGCACGCGGAATCGAATTCTCACAGGGCGTTTCGTGCTGATAGTGTTCTTATAAGAGAGTTTGAATGTTATAGAGCATGACTGGTGGAAAATGAGGTTACTTCATTTCCATTATTATAAATAAGTTGAGGTATAGTTAAGATGACATAGTAAGTGATCTGTAAATTTGACCTTATTTTTCTAATTTAATAACGGGGTCTTCAACCATGACTTGTAAGCTCTGATACAGAATTATTTTCGGCCCATGTCAGTCTGTTATGTGAATATTAGAGTTGTTTCTCTCATTGCCTTTTAATTAGTGACAAATGTGAATTGTATTGCCTCCTAAATTAAAGAACCATTTATATGGAAAAGCATTGTTACTATTACTGAATAACAAAAATTGTGTCATGTTAGTGAGGTCAAACATTGTATAGCAAATGTTGTGGTGCATTGTTGTTTGGCATACAGGACTTGTCAAGTGCTTTTTGGATGCGCATTCTCAAGGTTTATTCTGTGTTGCTTTTGCATAATGCCTGCTCAGCGCGGGGGGGAATACTTTAGACCAAAATGGCCACCACACACAACACCAAACTACCGATTTAAGAAAATGCCTCAAGGTCCATGTGATTCATTAGGAACCTCGGTGATGTGATAGATAACCATGATTACGCAAGTTAGTGAGTTCAAACCGTAATGATGCCAGCTGAAGCTGTTGTGATGTGAATTACAACTATGAGGATGAGTTGAAAATGTTATATAATGTGAATCTAACAACCATGAAGTAAAGAAGACATGCTGTGGAGTCAGAATCTTCATGATAGTGAATTACTCATGATGTAGGTTTGACATTGTTTGTTTGTTAGAGTCGTAATATGTGGGAGATCCACGGTAAAACCTTGATGTGTGGTTTGAAGGCTATCTTGGTCTACAGCAGTCCTCCCCTGAGCGCCTTATTCCAACAGTTTTCACATTTACTCTTCTGGGCAGAATCATCTCACTTATTTTATTGTGAATATTTAATTGGCATTGCTATTATTATTATAATAATTAAATTATCAAAATTTTATTTTAATTGTACAGCAGTGAATGTAAACCAGACCTAGTGTGTTTAACATGGGTATGGTTATATTGGGTAGCAGAGAGGCTACTGGATTTTTATCACATTAATGGTGACCATTTTTTTTTTTTTTTTTTTTTTTTTTTGTAATATAGTAAAAAAAAGTTTGAAATGAATTAAATGCGTGGGGTTTTTCATGCCTACAGTCAGGGAGGCCAAGGTGATGATGATTATAATATTTGAAAGAGGCATCTTCATTTCCTGGTTATCTGAAAAAAATTTTTGGTTTCTTCTGTGAAATGAGTAAAATACTGGAAGGGAATGTATCTGTATTTCTTTGCCATTGTTCAGGAAGAAGACGGCAGTGATGATGATAATTATATCGAACATCAATTAATACTTGATTGATGACTGTTTTGTGTAAGGGAAGATGCCTGCTTGCATTCAACACGTACAGATTGGCTGTATCTTGTGTTGAAAATTTGTGTACAGTAGTAGAAGATTGGAATAAACTCAGTCGAGATATTATCTTTTGTGTGGAGCTTTTATTCTTAATCTCAGTGTTTTAAATTTAGAGATTTTTAATTACTTGTCTCTCAAGTCCTTCCAACATCAAAATGGACAAAACAAAAAAAAATGAGTTTATAAAACGGTGCGTTAAAAGTCAAGGCGAGAAGTTGATGTTATGCTGACAAAATAATCCTATGTCATCCTGCAATTAAGGCAAAACGGTTAAGGCTTCGTTCACATGCAATGTCTATTTTCTAAATTCTATTTTCTATTCGCGCTATCTTATGATCACGGTCTGTGCACTGAATATCCCGCCGCGTAATTACTGGCAGCGCGAGCCAGTTACTATAAGTTACTATAAGTAACTGGCTCGCGCTGCCAGTAATTACGCGGCGGGATATTCAGTGCACAGACCGTGATCATAAGACATGCCGCAAATAGAAAATAGAATTTAGAAAATAGACATTGCATGTGAACGAAGCCTAAGTAAGAGCTATCGTTTATACCATTTTAAAATGTGGTTAAGGGTACTCTATACCGTTTTTACCTGTCAAAATAAAATATCCTCTAGAAATGCTACCCACTGAAAAAAGGTTTTAACCCCCAATTTGTGGTAGATTTTAATGATAATTCCAAGAAAGATACATGGATGTTTCAGCTTTTATTTCCAAATGTTTCAAAACAATAGTCAGACCAATGGCACAGATCGCCTTTCAGTTTCTTCTCGACTTAAAATATAACTGAAGAAAAGTATGTTCTTATTTGTAACTAAGGTAAAAATTAGTCAGTATATAAGGTAAATAAGAATGCATTAAAAAAAAAAAAAGTGATGTCCCAGCTGTAATGGGGATGTTTACCTAATGAAATCATTATTGTTATTATCAAGTAAATAAACATCATTTAAATTCATTAAATCATTATTGTTATTATCAAGTAAATAAACATCATTTAAATTCAATCTCCACTCTCTGAGACTAAGTCAACTTCCCTATGCTCTTTGTCAAATTCTGGGCTAGTTATTAAAACAGACTGCTCCACGTCCGACCTGCTCTTCTTTTTACTTTTCTTGTTCTTTTTGTGTTTTTTCTTATGTTTTCTTTTCCTATCTCTTGACTGAGATCTGGATCTTGACCTACTTTTGGACCTGGATTTCGAATACGTCCGTTTGCTGGAAAAATATTTTTAAAAATTAACAACCTGAATTAACTAAATGAGCAGCTGCTGATGTTAAAAACATTGCAGGGATGAAGATGTATTCTTATTAAAAGAAATTTGGCTTTGGTATTAATTGTCAGTTAGTTACAAAATTTGTTGAAACATCAGTAACTGATTAAAAAGAACTTATGACTTAAAAAGAAAATATCACTTTCCAATAAATAGCAGTGAAAAAAGAGAACTGCTGTATTGATATAAAGCTTAAACTCATATTCAAAATACTTCAAAATTTTTTGCTTGCTTCAATATATGTGTGTGAGATCATCTGAAGAAAGGGAGTGATGAATGACAGTCAACGTCCTGCAAGGATAAGATACTTAAAGAGATAGCCAGATATACATATACATATATTATCAACTTACCTTTTCCTTTTATGCTCTGAAGAATCTGACCTTTGACCCTCAGACGATAATGACCTTGTCCTTGTTCTGGGAAGTAGAGAACTAGAACTTGATCTATCATATTTTTCTATTTCAGTATCTTTTAAGTCTGTCTGTGAATGGTTAGGTCTTTCTCTGTCAGAAGAACTTGAACATGACCTTGACCTAGATTTATGCCTGCTATGATGCTTTGATCTTGAACTACTTCTATGACTTTTGGATGTTTCTCTATCAAGTGAGGGTGATTGTCCACTATTTCTGTCTGATCTATTTTTGTATCTGTCTTTAAAGTCACCATCATCTCTTGAATCATGATGGTTTTGCTTTGGCGATTGTCTGTCATTTGACCTTGACCTTCTTCTGTCTCTTGACCTTGATCTGCGCCTTCTTCTTTGTTCTCTTCCATCTCTGTCATCCTCCCTGTATGCGTGCGAACGTCTTTCTCGTCTCTCATAACTATCATCTTCACGATGTCTGTAAGAGGATCTGCGCCTGCCATTACGATAGCCTCGTTCAGAGTAATACTGTCTGTCGTCCCTTTTTGATGAACCACGCTCGCTTCTTCCTTCATGTCTCTGAGAGGATGCAAATTCAAAGTCCCTGTCTGCATCACGAAACTCACCATTGGGATTGCGGAAGACGTGAAGGAAGTTGCAGTTTTTGCCTTTCGGGCAGCGTTTCATGTGAAATAGGCCTATTACAGAAAAAATTTAATCATTAGACTTGCTTTATAAATTGACCGTAAGAAAAGAATAACAATTTCAATCTGGAATATTTCTTATAAATCTTCAACTTAGAAAAGCATGACTTCCACAAAAAATTATTCACTTGAGAAATTTTCTGAAAACGATACCAAGTAACAGTTTCATACAGGATTTCAATGTGGGACACCACCAAAATTGATCACCACATTTTCAGGAATTGACGTTAGGCAAACAATACTAGATACATTTCAAATGTGGGAGATTTACCAAAAAAATCTTCAAAAAGTTTTTTGTGTCTTTGCATCACAACAAGGACTGAAATCAAATTTAATATTTCACAATGAGTCAACTTAAACAATGCTATACTGATTAAAGATGACTTATGGTATATCCAACAATGACAAAACCCAAACTTACCACATATCGCCCCTTTCCACTTGGTGACAACTGTGAACTCACACTGTAGCTGACGACCTCCATACCAGCGGCCATTGAAGGCAGCAAAGCCACGTATTGCTTCCTCCTCACTAGAAAAAAGGAGACAGAAAATACTTATTCATATATACAAATTTTTTAAAAATTTGAAAATCGTTTAAATTACACAAAAGTAAACTTTTCTTTCAAGGCAGTTGCATTAGGAAAAATAACAAAAGAGAATATATATGAAAAAAAAAAAATTCCATTGCCACTCAGGCTGGCCCTGAGGAGGGCTTTATGATTACAGCTCACCAGCAAAGCTGTCAAATGTACAGAATTTTGCTTCAGAGCATTCTGTTGTCACTGTTACATACCTGGCAAACTGAACGTAGACATTTCCTCTCAGGTGGGGTTCGTGGTTACAGCAGACCTTGAACTGTACCACTCTCCCCACAGCCTTCAGCTCTGGAAGCACGTCCTCGTAGAACTCCTTGAAGTGCTGGTAGGTCTCTGACTCCTCGTATTCCAGGCTGATGTCTGAAAAAAGAATATAAAATCATTTTTTCCTCAACAGTGATTCTCAGTGTCTGATGTCTGGAAAAATACAAAACAATATACATATGTATTTTGTTCTTCAAAGATGAAACTGGTCAAACAAAGAAAAAGCCCTCAAATATGTTGTTCATCCTTTTTTATTGTGCAGTGCACTTTTTTATTTCAACCACTTAAACTGGGTTCTAACATAGAATCATGTAATGGGGTTGAGGGGCTGGGGTGGCGAGTTTACTTCCTTTCATAGATTTGCTTACAACTATTTCAACCTCTGAAATTGATCTGGTAAACTGGTTGCGTCAAGCACAGGGGCTCTGTTAACATAACATACAGATTACTCAGTGGTCATCCTTTCAAAATGGTGCAAAGTGTACCAAACATTGTGAAAAGGGCTTTGGATACATATATACCAAGCTAGTTGAACAAACGCAGAGATTTTTCTGTCGCCATATTGCAATATGGCGAACAGCATACCTGTGTCATACTCGTCCCTCATGCTTTCCTGTAAACCAAAGTGTGTGTACATTCCAGGAAATAACAAGGTCACACTGGAGTCTGGGAATGGATGTGAACGGGAGCATCTGAAAATAAAAATCCCTTCTGCTCATTAAATTTTAATCCCACTCTCCTCTTGTATCTGTAAGCTTCAATGAATTGTCAGTCCAAAACAAACTTTACTAGTCAATAGTCAATAAGATCAATACATCATATAAAAAATTCACTTTAAAAGACTCATTTCCTTTAGTCAATGGTGTGTATGTGTGTGGGTGTGTGTGTGTGTGTGTTTGCGCACGCAGACGTGTGAGTGCGTGACAGTGTTCGTGTGTGTGTGCACGTGCGTGGGGGAGGGTAATATTACAAAATCACCACACCAACCTTTCTGCAAACCTGCATGCACCAGTCTTCATAAAAAATGGACAGTTCTCCACCTTCCTCTCCTCACCGTACTGCACTGGGGCTAGCGGGTTATGCCACACATCCTAGAGAGACATAAATCAGACAGACATGACAGCATAATTTATAACACATTTATAACACAATTTATAACATATATAAATATTTGTCAAATTGTAATCTAGAAAACATGCAAAATGTGTCTGTAAACATTTTAGTGCCCAATAAAGTATTATCATTACTATTATTATTATTATTATTAAATAGAGCAATGGGGATAATTGTGTAATTCCTCATAAAGGACCTCAGTGGTTGAGGAAGAGGTTGGCAAAAATCAGAGCCAGAGAGAGGGAGAAAGAGACAGAAAAATATGCAGATTCAAAAGTGAACCTTATAAAAAATCCAGAAATTACAAGCACTGAAGGTACATACACATATATACAATCCCCCGGTTTCTGGATAAGTTAACAAGACTTAAACATTTAATTAAGCATAACTACCTTGTTTTCATTCTCTGTTGCTTTCTGCAGCAGTTCATCCTATAACACCAATAAATCAGCACTAGCATGATAACACAATGTAATCTGATCTGAATAAGAGGTTAAGTCTGAAGATACATTTATATAACATCAACAAGTACAAACAAGTAACACGCTTAGTCCATTTTTCCTGGATAATTGGTTACTTTGACTATCATCATATCATGCGATAACATGTAATATAAAATTAAAATGTTTAAACTCTCGACCTTATCCAACTTGTTGCAATATATTATCAAAATGAAGATGAAAAGCAGAATTTCTTTTTTTTATTGTAATTTTAATCCTAAATTTTTGAGACAGACAAAAAAAATGACATTAAAAAGGAATCACTTATAAGGCGACTTATTTGCTTTTCAATGCATATTAAATATTATAGGTTATCTGTAATAAGGCTGTCTAAGCCCAGACATCTCAATTTATAATCTGCAAAATGAAATACATTTCAATAAAAGATACAAATTGATCACATTCTTCTATTTCTCTCCAACATGAAAAAATTGACCAAATGTCCTTGCTGGGCAGTAATTTGGTCAAGGAATGCTTTTCAGTTTATTATGCTGGATATGAATACTTATATGAATATGTATATATATGAACATCAATTATCATGAAGAATGACTATGTTTAAAGCATGATCAAAATTATTTTAAAACTTCAACATTTTCAAGAATGCTTTTTTATTCAAAATTCGAAAACTTGCTGATTTAATATTAGAAGAGCATCTCTTAAACTAATGTCCAGGTAGGATATGTTCTAGGGTCATCCTCCAGTCACCTGTCTTTTCTTCCTCTCTTCCTCCTCCTTCCTTCTCTTCTCTTCTGCCTCCGCTTCCTTCTTTTGCTGCTCCTCCCATTCCTCTCGAATTTTTCTCTGTTAAGAAATTGAAAAATAACAATTGATTTACAAAGATAAAAGTGTACCTTTTTTTTTTTTTAATCCTGAAAATGAAAATCCTGAAGGTACACATCTCTATATATATAGACTGTCTTTGAGACATAGATACAACAGCCAAATATCTGGGTTTCTGGATAAACAAGAAGACTGTCATTTGAAAATTTAGGAACACACAGTCACTGCTGCTTACACACAAACACACACACAAAATTGCTCTGCCCTTCAGATTTACAAGTCAATCCAATATTGTCAAAATATATGGATTCTGCTTTGCTTTAAAGAAATTTTTTTCTTAATGAGTAAGAACCTGTGTAAGCAAATCATGGGGTCTCTAAGTATGAAGCCTTTTTAACAAAATGATAAAATTTAGCACAATCAATCTCACTTCTTCTTCTTCTTTCCTGCGTCTTTCTTTTTCTTCCCACTCCTTCTTGGCCTTCCATGCAGCTTGGGCTTGGCGTTCTCTCTCTAACCACAGCTCGTGCTGTCTTAACCTACAACAAAGGGAATGCTTTCTACACAGCTGAACTATACAGGTTTAGTATATGGAATAATTATAATTAAACATATTTAACAAGTTAAAATATTAAATTCAATGTCTGGGTATTTCACTTCATCTTTCATTATTTGTCATTTTTATTACCTCCTTTATTGATTATACCCTAGAATTAACATGTTTCCTTATATTGTGATTCAGTGTACTTGCACATGAATTTCAAATATCAAACTCCCTTCCTTGCCTGTCCCTTAAACCAAGTGAACAAATTTTTCTACCATGCAGTCTTTGAAATATTTATCACTCATAGCCTCATAGGGTCAACATTTTCAGCAATTTTCAGGCGCTACTCACCTTTCCTTTTCATCTTCTGATGCCTCCTGTCCCTCACTCTCTGATGACACTGCCGTCTTTTCTGAATACAGAAAAAAATAATTAAAAACTACTCGACAGAAAGGTCTGTGTACAGTATACTGTAAGCAGAATGTAAAAGGTTTTTGACAGACTTACATATAACTACGTACAGTGTATACATACATATGTATCGTAACCCCATTTCTACAACGAGGAATAGTTTTCTTCAGTTTCAGATAGTGGTGCACAGGGTGAATACCCATAGCTATATGTAGGCTTAAGTGTAACACATTTCATCAAATTACTAATTGACTGACCTTCAGATTCCTTCTGTTTGGCAAGTGCCTGTCTGTGAAGCTTTCTTTTCAGCTTTTTCCATTGCTTATGACTAAAAAAAGTGAGGGCATCATCAAATCGATTTCAAGTATAACATGTATGTACACACATACAGAGAGAGAGAGAGAGAGAGAGAGAGAGAGAGAGAGAGAGAGAGAGATTTAATCGCTCATAGCTATGTTAAACTCATTTACCACTCTTCACAGTCAATTAAGTATGTTAAAGCAATGTCTTATTTCAGAATAACAGCTGGCAAACCTTAGTTTCTTATTCAGACCGGTGTTAGAATTACAATCGTTCTCAGGTAAGTTGTTCATCCCCATGTTTTTGTGAGTTCTCGTTTCCTACGAGAACACAAATTTTGATGACGTAGTTCACACAACCAGAATAATAACAATAACAATACGCACACTATTTAAACTTACGTTTATCAATTTATGCGTCGCTCCGAAACTAAACATTCCGTTTTATTTGGAAAAGAGCACAACCCGAAGACGTACACAACAGTAAGTACATTAAAAAAGCCATTTTGATTCTGAAAATTTGATCATTTGGGTCATGAATTTCCATAAATTACCCTGTCAAAATATTTGGCAGGAGACCCCGTGAGGTCAGAACTACAGGTTAAATGTCAAAAAATGTAAAAAGAAAATGCAGCGCAATAAACTTAACTTGAACGGATATGTAGCCACTAGCCGTTATGTTAATGTTGAATCATCCTTTGAGACTTAACAGACTGATGAAAGTGTATTCATTTATTACCAAAGACGATGTGATTGTTGAATATTCACTGATTCAGTGCACTGTAGAGAATTGTAATTTTCTTCAGTTCATTTTGTGTACAGGGAGTGGCCTCTGCACATGTTGATAATAATAATAACCAAAGAACAAACTTTATTCCTGGCAGTTCAAAAATATTTTTAGTTGGTACTAGTACTGTATGTGAGAGATATTAGTACTACTCATTCTGTGTATTTGTAAGTTCAGCCCATAAATATTTAATTATAAACACAGCAATCACAGATATATATTCATCCACAATTAACATTTCCATACACATTCAGATAAACCAGTAGTGGAGGCTTGATGAGTGACGGGTGTGATAGAAAGTGTTATCCAAGGTGATGCAGAGCCCTCCTTCCAGTCTCAGCGATGGAAAACTCCCTGTATTTGTCTTCCCTTCCTCCTTAATCTTCTACTCAGATGACCAATCCACACATAAACAGGTGCTCACTTTGTACAACCCCTATGAAATGGCGCTGAGATTTAAGGGTGAGTGTACACAAGTTTTTTATGAGCTATGTAACAAAATGTCAAGTGTAAAAATGATGCCTCTACTCTGTTACCCAGTCTTTTACTCTGATAACCAGTCTTCCCATAAACTGGTGATAACTTTGTTCATCGCTTTGAGATGGTGCTGAGATTTAAAGTTGAGTATGCATAAAATTTCTGCAAGCTTGATCACTCTACGTAGATTGATCCAACTCCACGGGTACTCTTGCTGAGTGCAATTTAACATGCCTCCTCTTGTTTCCAACCTGCTTGCATAATCACCTGCTTTTCTGCATTCCACTCAATGCCAGAAGGAGCCATGTTCATCTGTTTATCTGATTGCCTTCAGCAAGAGTCCCTGCGGAGTTGGATCGATCTACACAGAACCAGTAGTTTAATCGGAAATGAGCCCCTGGAGACACATCATACAGTCACTGATGGTACACCTAATGTTCCACTTGTTCTTTGAACTTTCTTTGAAATCTTTCTGTTCCAGTCCAGTGCACTGCTCCTAAGAAATACTCTGTCATAGATCCAGAGGGAGTGGTCAAACCAAGGTGCTGTGTGGATGTGTAAGTATAACACTGATAGATGTTTGTGAAGATTTGGGGCAATATGGGGTAATATTTGGGATTAAGTTCATAATATTTATGTATATAGAAAATGCTTGTGCAATTCAGAGCATATTGCATTTCAGATCACTGTAACAGTTTTAGACCTCGTGGTAAGGTGAAAGCTGTATTTGTCAAATTGTTTTAAAAAGTGGGGTTGATATGCCTTAGTATATTTTGGGGAATGGAATAAATAAATAAATACTAGGAAAAGTTGCTGTAATGTTTCGTGTATTAATGATACCACCCATCGTCAGTCTTCTTTGCCTTTGATTTCAGTGTGATACGCCATGTAGATATCTGTATAAAACATGAAGGTGTTCTTGACAAGTTCAGGATTCAGGTGTATGAACAGGGATCTAGGAAAATGGCAGGTAATTTCATAAAACTGTATCAGGTATTATACTTGTGTATTTTTTGTAATGGTATGAATTTATCGTTATTAATTCTGGACTAACCCAGAAAAATACAGCTTGTTTTAAGAATTTTTTTTCCCAATTCAATTCAAACCAGAAAGTTTATAATAATTCCTTTCTTGACACCTTTGTCTGTATTGCATGCTGTTATTTTCATTCTGAACTCAAAGATTAAAATGGGCAATTTTGGAAGAGACCACCACTGAGAAGAAATTCTACTGAGGAAAGCTACAGAAAAGCTTTACAGAAGCTAATGTGTGTCTGTTATATTTCCAGGGAAGAAGGAGGTCACATCAGTCCTCTATCCCACACGGGACAGCCAGGTCAAGTCTGAGGACACATTTGAAAGCCTTCCTACTGTCCCAGGTGGGAAAATGGGAGAGCAGCTCAGTATTCCTATAAGACCAGGTACACTGTCCTGTAGATGTGTGTGTGTGTGTGTGTGTGTGTGTGTGTGTGTGTGTGTGTGTGCGCATGTGTGTGTATTTGGGGGGGGGGAGAGGGGGGTCAAATTCTCCTTTATGACTTGGGCTGAAAAAAGGGAGAGTAACTCAGTTTTCTTATCAGTATTCCTTTTCTGCCACCTGTGTTTTGTCAGCTATTGATTGTTATAGAGCAGTAGTTTGTGGAGATTTTTAATGGCAACTCTCAGAATATTGAACAAAACTTCTCAACAGGATTTTTATGACAACAGGTGTGAGAATTGCAAGATGCACTGCAGATTGTAGTTATACAATGCAATTTGTGTAATTTTCCTGTGCACCAAACATTGTAATTGAAAGCTTTCAAGACCATTTGATACAATCACACTCTAATCAAATCTAGGTCCAGATTTATTGTCTTTTTTTTTTTTCTGTCCCTAGGTCAATCTCAGTCCACTAGTCCAAGCCTGGTCATCATCATGGCGGCCATTGCGTGTATCGCTGCACTCATGCTTCCAACTGTAGGTGACAAGAATATCAAAGTGCCAGAATACTTAGTGCTCTCAGTAAACCAGAAACTTATAGCTGCTTATGTCTTAGGTGAGTTTTTGGTGGAAATTTTAAGATGCTACTTGTTTTTCTTTCCCTTTTTTTCTTCTTTCTTACCTTGTTATTGCCAGATCTACACATTTGATGATTAAGGATATTTAAGATCTTAATTTAAAGAAGAAAATCGCATTGATTCTCAGATATCTTGGTTGAGATGTAATCATTTGTGTTAAGACATTGGTAAAACAATATGATTAATTTGCAGATTTTTAAAACTTTTAATTAGTAAATAAGAATTGTCCCCGAAACTTACACTATGCTCACAAATTTTAAATATTTTTTTAAAAAATATGTGTAACAAGTTATTGTTCTTTCAGGTTTAGTCACAATGGTTTTGTTGAGAACATGACGAAAGATTCCTGATGCTGACTGGGACGTAGATGCTCAAGAATTCTGCCTATGTGTTTTGATGTGATAGTAGATGTTTGTGAAGGGGCTAGATATATATTCTAGAACTGTGACTTTGTGCAGTAGGATTTAACCACATTCAGTACAGCGGACTAACAGATCCCTGGATAAAATATTGCGACCACTAAAAAACTTTCCGCTTAATTCCTGATCAGACACTGAATAGATTCCCCATGGGGATAATGCAACAAGCATTCAAGTGGTCCGCGGGTCTGCTAGTTGGCTGTTCTGAAGGTAGCCTTAGGGACCTGTGTCACAATAGAAATTTAGATGGAAAGTAGAAATATTGAAATAATATTATTGCAAAAAAAAAATATTGCACCCGTTTTATGCCAAGAAAGAAATGGTTGCTAATGTAGACAAACAATTACTCCTTTAATAGTGGACTGCTGCACATTAACTCAAAAGTGAACTAGACCTAAATTTAGTTGTAAAAGTTCAGATTAACTTTTGGCCTAAAACTCTTTTGTGAATATGGATCCAGGCTTAACCCAAGAAAGGAGTTAACCATGCATGTATAGAATTTTAAGAAGGTACTTGGATTGGCTTCTAAGTTTAAGAAATCTCAAACCTTAATCAATTAGCTCTCAGGAGACAATTTCTTTGAGAACCTCCCTGAGTTTCATATGATAACGGAGACTCATTTAACTAATGCTGGTAAGAGAAGTAAGTTTTTAGTCATCTAAGAAATTCAGGGTGCCAAGGTCTGGGTTCTTTTTTGTTATGCATTGAATACAAATAACTTTGTGAAGATGACTAGATAAGGTGATTGACCAATTTAAAGGAAAAGGAAAATGTGGATTGTTAAGGAAAGATGGTGTTTGGGTTTTAATGCAATGTTCAGTGATCTGATGTAGTGAAAAAAAAATGTCCATAGTGACTTTTACTGTTTTGTATCTCTCCCGATGAGTCTTGATTTATCACAACTACAACAAAACACTGTCTTAGTGTGTAAGAAAGTATGTTGAAAATATGTTGTAACATGCCTCTAATCTATAGTTTTTCAGAAAGACTTCATGGCAGTTTGAATATGTCCTAACAATCATTATAATATTCAAGAACACAAATAATCCTAATGGCTATGTAGATTTGAAGGAGAAGAGTTTGCGAGACTAATTAGTAAACTAAAATGTTGTTTATTTTAAGTTTAGTAGAAATCGCATATATTTATGATAATTGTTGCCTTGACTGAGGACTTCTTTTAGAGTTCAGTGATCTTGTTTTTATTTACGTTCATATGCAAAGAATGACATATTTGATGTTATTTATTTTATTAGAATAAACGAAAGTTCTTTCCCGTTTAAAGGATGGTTTTAAGGAATAAGTTAATCTGAAGATCCAAGTTGGTTCAGATGTAAACACAGCCGAAGAGAATATGTAAAGATATTTGTAGTGTATATTCAAGCCAGGGATTTGGTGGGCATTTTTTATATTTATTTATTTATTTATTGAGATCATTTTCCTTCTTGTTTAATTTATCACTGTGTCATTTTGAAGTGCCTCAGTTTTTTTTTTTGGGGGGGGGGGGGCGGGGGCATGGTTTCTGCTATCTTAAAACTGTTTGGATGATTTTGACAAGTTGACCATTTGAAACACAGATTTGTGACAGTTTCTGTTTTCAGCTGTTTGGTTTTGTATCTCATTATTTTAGAATGCATTTTATAGTTGTCTTACGATATGAAAACAAATATTGTTGGTGTTTTAATTTATTTCAGGCATAATTTGAGTCACATGCAGATACTGTAATTACTTTCTTCATATAAACAAATGTGATGTGTTTTAAGAACAATAATAATAATTTTTTATTTGAATTGGTGTTTTAAATTTCCTCTCTCTCTTTCTCTTATTTTGTTAATAGGAAATGTTTACAGTGGAATTTCCGTCAAATTTTCAGTTTTCTGTTTATATATGCTACCTAAATACAGAAATGATGCACACCCCCTTTTACTAAATATAGGTCACAGGATTGGCATTTGATTGGCTGATATTTATAGCCTCTATCATAAATATGGCTGCCATTGTACAGTTATCTTGATAACGTTGTCAAGAGCCGCTTTATTGTTGTATTCTGACCGATCTCAGACTTTTGAGGCCAAAATAGTGAAATTAATTACCAGAGAATAAGAAAAAGGTAAGTTTTCAGCAAAGAAAGACCAGGTTTGTGCGAAAATTTCGATTGAAATGACTCATTCATGAAGAGGGATGGTCTGCTCGATTCTCTCTTCGTTCATTCATCCAAGCGAAGAGCATCAGTAACCGGTAAGCTAATCTGTGTCACGTTAAATTGCTTTTCTTTTCTCTTTACAATTTATATTTGTACTCTTAATATGGCAGATTAAAAAAAATTATTTTCAGGATTCCCATTGTAAGAGTTTGATTTGTTAAAAACGGCAGATAGAGGTTCTTGTTGAATTACATATATTGTATTTGCAGGTGGTTTTCGAAATTTAAGAAGATATAATTACATATTACTAATAAATATGTTTGTATGTAAAAGATATGTAAAGTACATAATCAGAAATTGATATAAAACAGACCAACCGGTTATAACTCTCTAATACTCTGATAATGATCGAACAAATTTAGAGAAATTTAGTAGTAGTCTTGGCTGGGACTCTTGCCTCCCGCCCGC